GATGGATGATGGATGATGGATGGATGATGGATGGATGGATGATGGATGATGGATGATGGATGATGGATGGATGATGGATGGATGGATGGATGATGGATGATGGATGATAACAAGTAAGAGTAAATGATGCTGATGATGATAATGATGATGACAATAAGTGATGATGAATCCTGGACACTCCCTGTCCCCCCCTTCCCCACCCTCACCTGTCCGGGATGTTCTCCTCACCTGTCCACCCCACCCTCACCTGCCGGGTGACGTCCCCGCTCACCTGTGCGCACCTGTGCAGGTTCGGCAGCAAGGAGGAGTACATGGCGTTCATGAACGAGTTCCTGGAGCTGGAGTGGGCCAGCATGCAGCAGTTCCTGTACGAGATCTCCAACCTGGACACGCTGACCAACAGCACCAGCTTCGAGGGCTACATCGACCTGGGCCGCGAGCTGTCCACGCTGCACGCGCTGCTCTGGGAGGTCATGAGCCAGCTCAGCAAGGTAAGACACCTGGGCACACCTGGAGAACCTCACCTGTGGGGCTACAGCCTCACCTGTGCGGTGACAGCCTCACCTGGGGGGCTACAGCCTCACCTGTGCGGTGACAGCCTCACCTGGGGGTGGTGCTGGGGCTGTCCACGCTGCACGCGCTGCTCTGGGAGGTCATGAGCCAGCTCAGCAAGGTAACACACCTGGGCACACCTGGAGAACCTCACCTGTGGGGCTACAGCCTCACCTTGTCGGGTGACAGCCTCACCTGGGGGGCTACAGCCTCACCTGTGCGGTGACAGCCTCACCTGGGGGTGGTGCTGGGGCTGTCCACGCTGCACGCGCTGCTCTGGGAGGTCATGAGCCAGCTCAGCAAGGTAACACACCTGGGCACACCTGGAGAACCTCACCTGTGGGGCTACAGCCTCACCTGTGCGGTGACAGCATCACCTGGGGGGGCTACAGCCTCACCTGTGCAGTGACAGCCTCACCTGGGCGGTGACAGCCTCCCCCAGGGGGCTACAGCCTCACCTGGGCGGTGACAGCCTCCCCCAGGGGGCTACAGCCTCACCTGGGCGGTGACAGCCTCCCCCAGGGGGCTACAGCCTCACCTGGGCGGTGACAGCCTCCCCCAGGGGGCTACAGCCTCACCTGGGCGGTGACAGCCTCCCCCAGGGGGCTACAGCCTCACCTGGGCGGTGACAGCCTCCCCCAGGGGGCTACAGCCTCACCTGGGCGGTGACAGCCTCCCCCAGGGGGCTACAGCCTCACCTGGGCGGTGACAGCCTCCCCCAGGGGGCTACAGCCTCACCTGGGCGGTGACAGCCTCCCCCAGGGGGCTACAGCCTCACCTGGGCGGTGACAGCCTCACCTGGGCGGTGACAGCCTCACCCAGGGGGCTACAGCCTCACCTGGGCAGTGACAGCCTCACCTGTGCGGTGACAGCCTCAACTGTGTGGCCATGGCCTCACCTGTGCTCAGGTGTACCCAGGTGTGCTCTCAGGTGTACCCAGCTGTACCCAGGTGTACCCAGCTGTGCCCAGGTGTGCCCAGGTGTACCCAGGTGTATCCAGGTGTGCTCTCAGGTGTACCCAGCTGTGCCCAGCTGTACCCAGCTATACCCAGGTGTGCTCAGGTGTACCCAGCTGTACCCAGGTGTGCTCAGGTGTACCCGGGTGTACCCAGCTGTACCCAGGTGTACCCAGCTGTGCCCAGGTGTACTCCCAGGTGTACCCAGGTACACCCAGGTGCCCTCACCTGTCCCGCAGGAGGCGCTGCTGAAGCCGGGCCCTGTCACAGCTCAATGCGGGCCCCCCAGATGAGGTCTCAGGTGTACCCAGGTGTACTCAGGTGTACTTGGGTGTACCCAGGTGTGCTCCCAGCTGTACCCAGGTACACCCAGGTGTATCCAGGTGTGCTCACCTGTCCCGCAGGAGGCGCTGCTGAAGCTGGACCCTGTCACAGCTCAATGGGGTTCCCCCAGATGAGGTCCCAGGTGTACCTAGGTGTACCCAGGTGTACCCAGCTGTACCCAGGTGTACTCAGGTGTACCCAGCTGTACCCAGGTACACCCAGGTGTATCCAGGTGTGCTCACCTGTCCCGCAGGAGGCGCTGCTGAAGCTGGACCCTGTCACAGCTCAGTGGGGTTCCCCCAGATGAGGTCCCAGCTGTACCCAAGTGTACTCAGGTGTACCCAGGTGTACCCAGGTGTACTCAGGTGTGCTCACCTGTCCCGCAGGAGGCACTGCTGAAGCTGGGCCCGCTGCCGCGGCTGCTGACCGACATCAGCGTGGCGCTGCGGAACCCTCACCTGCAGCGACAGCCGAGCCAGGGCGAGCGGCTGCCCCCCAAGGGGCTGGTGCTGCGCGGGCCCTCGGCCGACCTGCAGCCCTACCTCGTGCGCGACCTCAACAGGTGAGCACACCTGGTGCCCGACAGCCGGCACCGGCTACCTGTCACCTGGTGCCTGGCACATTGTACCTGGCATGTGTCACCTGGTATCTGTCACCTGGTACCTGATACCTGTCATCTGGTACCTGATACCTGTCACCTGGCATCTGTCACCTGGTACCTGATACCTGTCACCTGGTACCTGATACCTGTCACCTGGTACCTGATACCTGTCACCTGGCATCTGTCACCTGGTACCTGATACCTGTCACCTGGTACCTGATACCTGTCACCTGGTACCTGTCACCTGGTACCTGGTATCTGTCACCTGTCACCTGGCATCTGTCACCTGTCATGTGTCACCTGGTACCTGGCACGTGGTACCTGTCATGTGTCACCTGGCATCTGGCACCTGGCATGTGTCACCTGTCACCGGGTACCTGGTACCTGTCACCTGTCATGTGTCACCTGGCACCCAGCACCTGTCACCTGTCACCCAGCACTGGGTACCTGGTATCTGTTACCTGTCACCTGGTACCTGTCATCTGTCACCTATCACCTGTCACCTGTCATTTGATATCTGTCACCTGGCCCCACCCACCTGTCAGCTGTCACCTGTCACCATCACCTGTCACCTGTCATTGGATATCTGTCACCTGGCCCCACCCACCTGTCAGCTGTCACCTGTCACCATCACCTGTCACCTGTCATTGGATATCTGTCACCTGGCCCCACCCACCTGTCAGCTGTCACCTGTCACCATCACCTGTCACCTGTCATTGGATATCTGTCACCTGGCCCCACCCACCTGTCATCTGTCACCTGTCACCTGTCACCTGTCATTGGATATCTGTCACCTGGCCCCACCCACCTGTCATCTGTCACCTGTCACCATCACCTGTCACCTGTCACCTGTTACCTGTCACTGTCACCTGTCATCTGTCACCTGTCACCTGTCACCATCACCTGTCACCTGTTACCTGTCACCATCACCTGTCACCTGTTACCTGTCACCTGTCACTGTCACCTGTCACCATCACCTGTCACCTGTTACCTGTCACCATCACCTGTTACCTGTCACTGTCACCATCACCTGTTACCTGTCACTGTCACCTGTCACCTGTCATCTGTCACCTGTCACCATCACCTGTCACCTGTTACCTGTCACCATCACCTGTTACCTGTCACCTGTCACTGTTTGCTTGAGTGGCCCAGGTGTTCCTGTCTCACCTGGTGACCCTCCGTCTCACCTGGGGTGGCCCCACCCACCTGTCACCCCCCGTCGTGTTCGCTTGTGTGTCCCAGGTGACCCCCAAGCCTCACCTGGCCTCACCTGGTGACCCCCGGTCTCACCTGTGCCCCCCCCCATGTCCCCATGGTGACCCCCCAGAACCTGGGGGACCTTCGTGTCCCACCTGTGACCCCCCGGTGTCCCCACCTGTCCCAGGTGTCCCCGGGTGTCCCCACCTGT